GGGGGGATCTGGGGGTTTCGGGAGGGGAGGCGGGGGTTTGGGGGGCGGGGGGATAGAGGGGTGGGGGTTCGGGGGGCAGGCGGGGGTTCGGGGGACGGGGGGACGTTCCCCCCCCTGACAGCGACTCTCCCCCCAGTGGCCGGCGGGGCTCAGGGCGCCCGGGGGCGATGGTGGTGCCCGGGCTGGAGCTGCCCGCGCAGGCCGTGGCCGGGATGGTGGCCGACGTGGTGTTCGTCATCGAGGGCACGGCCAACCTGGGGCCCTACTTCGAGTCGCTGCGCAAGCATTACCTGCTGCCCGCCATCGAGTGCGTCCACCGGCCCCCCCCGCCTGTGGGTGTCCCCCCCAGCCGGCGTGTCCCAGCGTCTGCCCCATCCCGTCCCCCCCCGGCTGGCCCCAGCGCGTGTCCCCTCCTCTCCCCCCCGGCCAGCCGGCCCCAGTAGCCGCCTCCCAGACCCCACAGCCTCTCTCATCTCCCCAGGCCCTCGCTGGGGGCAACCCACCCTTAATCCCGTATCCTCCCAGCACTCCTGTGCCCCCTTCCCACTGTCCCCCTCCTGAAGGGACAGCCTGTCCCGTGGCCCCAATCCGCCAAACATGTACATGCCATGAGCAGCCTCCCCCCCATTTTCCCTCCCCACCAAGCAGCTAGTCTCCCCCACAGCTGAGCATGGTCAGCCCCACTCCCACTCCGTGCCCCCCAGCCTTGGCATCCCCAGCCCCACTTCCCCTCGGGGGGAGGGTGTCTGATGGGCGCATTCTCCTTGTGTCCCCCCAGGTACTTCAACGGCGGCCCCCCAGCTGAGACAGACTTCGGGGGAGACGTGAGTGGGCGGCTCCCCCGATCTCACCCAATCCCCCCCCCCGTACAGCATAGTTTCTGGGGCTGTGGGGCACTCTTCCATCTCCCCCACAGGCAGTGGGGTTTGCAGGGCTGGGCAGGACTGGGGGGGCGCCCCTCATTGTATCACCATCCCCTTGCGGGTGGTAGAGTTTGTGGGGGAGGCTGGGCTGGTTTGTGGGTCGCCCCCTATCTCACCCCAGGCTCCCTGCTGGTGATTGGGTTTGCTGGGGGCTGGGCAGGTTTGTGGGGCTTCCCTTGAACTCCCCTGGTCCCTCTGTGGAGGGTGTAGGTAGGGGTGTTGTCAGGGCACCGTGATCCTGTTCAGGGGGTGGCTTAGGGGGTGGTCAGGGCACCCTGATCTCACCCTGGTCCTGTTCAGGGGGGTGGCTTAGAGGGTGGTCAGGGCACCCTGATCTCACCCGGGTCCTGTTCAGGGGGGTGGCTTGGGGCGTGTCAGGGCCCCCCCAGATCTCACCCCCCCTCTCCCTGTCAGTATGGGGGCACCCAGTACAGCCTGGTTGTGTTCAACACGGTGGACTGCGCCCCGGAGTCCTATGTGCAGTGCCACGCCCCCACCAGCAGTGCCTACGAGTTCGTCGCCTGGCTGGACGGCATCCAGTGAGTGGGGGGGCGAGGGGCATCCAGTGGGGGGGGGGGGCGCGAGGGACTCCTGGGTTCTCTCCCTGGCCCTGGGAAGGAAGTGGGGTCTAGTGGGTTAGAGCAGGGGGGGCTGGGAGCCAAGACTCCTGGGTTCTCTCCTGGCTCTGGGCGGGGAGTGGGGTCTAGTGGGTTAGAGCAGGGGGGGCTGGGAGCCAGGACCCCTGGGTTCTCTCCTGGCTCTGGGCGGGGAGTGGGGTCTAGTGGGTTAGAGCAGAGGGGGCTGAGAGCCAGGACTCCTGGGTTCTCTCCTGGCTCTGGGCGGGGAGTGGGGTCTAGTGGGTTAGAGCAGAGGGGGCTGGGAGCCAGGACCCCTGGGTTCTCTCCTGGCTCTGGGAGGGGAGTGGATTCCTGTGGGTCAGAGTAGGACTCCTGGGTCCCATCCCTCGCTCCATGAAGGCGGTGTCCTGGGGGGCCTCACTCGGCTCCATGTCCCTCCCACGCAGGTTTGTGGGGGGCGGCGGCGAGAGCTGCAGCCTCATCGCCGAGGGGCTCAGCACGGCCCTGCAGCTCTTTGACGACTTCAAGAAGATGAGGGAGCAGATGTGAGTGTGGGGCAGAGGGGGGGAGCCCGGGATGGCGGACGGTGGGTGTTCCAGCTCTGGGGCTGGGGGATCAGGGTGGGCAGCCCTGGGGCGCTGGATGGGGTCGGGTTCGGCGCTCCGGGCTGCGTTCCCCATGTGCTGCATGCTGGGAAGTGGAGGCTCCATGTCATCTCCCCCTCCCTGTCTGTCTCTCCCCCTCCCCGCCCGCAGAGGCCAGACCCACAAGGTGTGCATCCTGATCTGCAACTCGCCCCCCTACCTGTTGCCGGCTGTGGAGAGCACCACCTACTCCGGCTACACCACCGAGAACCTGGTGCAGAAGATCGGAGAGGTGAGGGGGGCCCAGGAGCCTGGATTCTCCCCCAGCTCTGCGAGGGGAGGGGGTCTAGTGGTTAGAGCAGGGGGGCTGGGAGCCAGGACACCTGGGTTCTCTCCCCCAGCTCTGGGAGGGGGGTCTAGTAGTTGGGGGAGGGGAGGGGGTGGCGTGTCTGGGAACCAGGACGCCTGGGTTCTCTCCCCGTTCCTCAGCCTCCACTCACCCCGTCCCTCCCCTCCCCAGCGCGGGATCCACTTCTCCGTTGTGTCCCCCCGCAAGCTGCCGGCGCTGCGGGCGCTCTTCGACAAGGCCACGCCCGGCGGGATGCTGGAGGCCCAACCCAAAGACTTCAGCCAGGATCCCCGGCACATGATCCTCATCCGCGGCATGGTGCTGCCGGGTAAGGGGGTGGAGGGCGATGGAGGGGGGCTGGCGCCTTCACTCCCCACAGCTCCGCCGGGGGAGAGCAGCGGGACCCCTCCCTGCAGGTGGCCCTGGGGGGCAGAGGAGACGGCCTGGGGGCGCGAGGAATGCAGGGCCGTGGAGCCGTGAGCAGGACGCCCGGGCGGGAGGGGGCAGAGAGGAGCCGCGATCGTGAGGCCCTGTCTGGGCTGGAAACTAGGAATCTATAAGGCCCCAGAGGTCACACTGGGGGCATCCCTTCTCGGCAGGGGGTCTGAGGTCATGAAGGGGTCACCCCTTCCTGGTGGGGGGTCAAAGGTCATGCTGGGGTCACCACACCTGCCAATGGCTTAGGGGTCACGGCGGGGTCACGGCAGGGTCACCCCTTTCAGAGAGTGAGAGGTCATGCTGGGGGCTGTTCCTTCCCGGGTCACCCCACCAGGGGGTCAGAGGTCATGCCAGGGTCACCCGTTCCCAACAGAGGGTCGGAGGTCATGCTGGCGTCACACCCTTCCGGCAAGGGGTCGGAGGTCATGCTGGGGTCACCTCCTGGCAGGGAGTCAGAGGTCCGCCTGAGGTCCCACCCCGGGGTTGGGGGACATTAGGTGGTGCCGGCCTCTCCTGGCTGCTGACCTGCCTCCCATCCCCCAGTAGGTGGCAGCGCAGCCTCTGGTGCCATCCAGCCCAAGCAGGTGGTGCCCCAACCGCAGCTCCCCACCGCGCCCCCGCAGCACCCGCCGGCCCCGCAGCAGCCCCCTGCCGCCCGCCTCCCAGCCCTACCAGGTACGTCCCCCGGGGGGTCCC